CAAAGGATGAGATGGTTAGACAGTGTCATAGACGCAACGAACATGAAATTGAGCCGACTTCAGAGGACGGCAGAAGACAGGAAGGCCTGGCGTGATCTGGTCCATGGGGTCCCGAAGAGTCGGACTCGACTGTGCGACTTAACAACAACAAGGCAACATTCTCCCAACAGTCAATGTTAATCTGATCTTGTTGAACCCTGAAGGAACGGATTATGGTACTTGTGACGGAACCTTAAAAACAGGGCAAGAGTGCCACCTAGAGTGTTTGGGATTTTGGTCTCCTGGGGGACACATTAGCATAACCCATTAATTTCCATTCCACATTGGACCATCCTCCAGTCCCTTTTCGACAAAGGACAACCTGGTCTGGGCCAAATCACCCGTTTGCCATGGAAATTCAGAGCCATTGCCAGGTGCTGGATGGGAGGAGTGGGACTACACTGTACAAGCCTCAGACTGGTAATAGTGGCCTCTGACGTCAGAGCTGGAGGGTGCTGCGTGGGGTTCACTAGATCAGCTCTTCTCTCGTAGAGAGGAGGCTGGCTTGGGACCAGTGGTGGAAACGGTGAAGCAGCCTGATCCGCTGAGGCCGGCTGTGGCCTTGAGCACTTCAGGTGCTGTGCACGCGAGACCTGTCCCAAAGAAATTCTGCAAACTGGGAGAACAGACCAGGCGGAAGAGGTTCCTTCTTCTACAGCTGGTGGCCAGACTCCAAATAGAAGTGGAGGAAAGCTGTTACCAGCAAAAAGGTGCAAAAACACTACCAGACGTTGAAGGACCTTGAGCATCAGTCTGCCCTTTTCTTTTAGGAAACACAACTCCGTCTTGAGAAGAACACTATTTATTTATTCAGTTTTTATCCCACCCTCAGGGCGGCTTACATTAAGGATTAAAAATATTAAAACACAAGTACTTATACAGTACAGCGTCATAACTTACAAACATACCAAGTCATAGCTCAAAATAAAATTAAAAAAAAATAAAAGTGCTGGTGGCAATAACAACCCGGTGGCCATGATAGGATGCTCCCAAAAAGACTGAACACAGTCTCCAAGATAAATGAAGAAGAAGAAGAAGAGTTTGGATTTATGACCAGGATGGCATATGTAAAAAATGGAACCTTTGAAGAAGCCCTCCACATGAACTTCTTGTCAGATTCCTGGACAACTGAGCACCCAACAACACTCTCTTGGCAGTGATATATTTATTGAGGCTTTAGCAAGTTCCAAGCTGTGACTTTCCGTGTCAGAACTGACGTTTTGGCGCCAACCCTGAAGTTATACAGGGTTCAATCAAGCTCCCCCCCCCCTCCAATCACGCCAAACTCCCAGCCCGCGTTTTTACTCTCCTCCTAAAAGCATCTGTTGTTGTTGTTGTTCAGTTGCACAGTCGAATTCGACTCTTTGCAAGCCCATGGACCACATCACGCCAGGCCCTCCTGTCTTCCGTCATCCTCTGGAGTTTGCTTAATTTCATGTTTGTTGCATTCCTCTTCTTCTTCTTCTTCTTCTTCTTCTTCTTCTTCTTTGCCCTTCAGTCTTTCCCAGCATCAGGGAAGCTGGTAAAGAGGTTTTCAAGGATGTCCATTCTTCCCAGACGCTGGGAGGCAGCTTAAGAAAACATGTTCCACTGAAGCTAAAGGTTCACACGAACACACGTGCACACACAGCCCCCCACCCTTTTATGCCCACAACAGAAGAGAAGAAGCACACAAGAACAAAATCATGGCAAACAAAGTTCTGAGTTAGACATTCTTCCCCTCACACACACACACACACCCCGGTTCGAGAGGATATTTTTTGTGAAATGCACGAACCGATTTAGGGGCCTGAACATGATCTTTGTGCATTCACTCATTATGACTAGGAACAAAGTCCTTCCACTTGATGAGATAACACAGATGTCCATGTTTGATTTTAGAGTCAAGGATTTCCTCAACTTCCTGATGAAGCTCCCCATCCCCGATCAGGGGAGGGGGAGCTGCAGGACGAGGTCTCTACTTTGAGGGTCCCGGATCCTTCTTCAGTAGACTGAAAAGGAAAACAGGGTGGATATGATGTAAGCTTTTCGGCAAATCCAGTTCAACAGCCACCTTGTTGATGAGCCTCACTGTCACAAGCCAACCAAAGGGAGTCCGGAACAGGCCAAGGTCAGGAGCCAAGAAGACAGTGCAAAGTCCAAAGCCAAGCCGGGGTCAGGAGCCAGAAACATGGAGCCAAGTCCAAAGCCAGGGGGTCCGAAGGTCTAGGTGCAAGAGCCGCGCTGGAGTGGATGCAAGCAGCACGAAGCTGACTCGTTACTTCCACGAAGAGTACTGCCCATAGTGTGGCATTAAATGCTGCTACCAATTAGCCAGCTGCACGATCGCCCAGGCTCCTGTTAGAACTCTGGGCTAGCTGAGCGTTTTCCCTGTAGCCTGGCCTCTCTTCACCTGGTTGCTAAGTTTTGCAGTCACTCCCTTAAACGAGTCACACGTGGGGATGAGTCAGGAGGACTTTCAGCTTGCAGTTCTTCCTTCTTATCTGAGCCAGGTGTGAAGACTGCTGTTACAGGCACTTGCCAGCTATCTTCCTCTGCTGCTTCAGAGGGGACAGCAGTGGTTTCTGCAGGCTCTGTCAGCTCATTCTCATCCACGCCCATGACCCTCACCACCTTGAATGGCCCCACATATTTCACCCCAACTTCTTCCCAGATTGCAGGCCCCTAAACTTCTTGGTGGAAATGTAAACAGAGTCCCCCAGGGTGCAAGTCCCACTCTGGGGCCCACCCCTTATCAGCTTGTGTTTTGCAATCCTCTTTTGCTTTAGCCACAGTCTGTTGAATTAGAGCCCACTGCTAAGTCAACCGAGCCCACCAGGTTTATAGGTCCTCTGGCCCTGGTGCTTCCGTGGGCATCGTGGGCACAGGGGCCCCCTCATATCCGTGCACCACCTTGAAGGGAGTAGCCTCAGTGGAACTGCGCACTGAGTTATTGTAACTGTATTCCACATAAGGGAGCAACTCCAGGCAGTCACCTTGTTGGTAACAGATGAAGCATCTCAAGAATTGTTCCAATATCTGATTAGCTCTATCTGTTTCCCCTCAGTCTCTGGGTGGTAGGCACTACTGAGACCTTGTTCCACCCCCAGCAATTTCAACAGCTCCTTCCAAAATTCCACCACAAACTGGGGGCACCTATCAGATATCACCTTCCAGGGTATAGAATGCAATCTCACAATGTATTGCATAAACAGCTGTGCTAGTTTCTTTGCCAACAGCAGCTGTGTGCATGGGATGAAGTGCGCCTGTTTAGGAAAAAGGTCCAGAACCACCCAAATGATACTTCACCCTTTAAAAAGGTAAAGGTTCCCTTGCTCGAAAGCCAGTCGAGTCCGACTCTAGGATCGCGGTGCTCATCTCCGTTTCCAAGCCGAAGAGCCAGCGCTGTCCGAAGACGTTTCCGTGGTCATGTGGCCGGCATGACTAAACACCAAGGTGCACGGAACGCTGTGACCTTCCCACCGAAGTGGTACCTATTTATCTACTTGCAATTTCTTGCTTTCGAACTGCTAGGTTGGCAGGAGCTGGAACTAGAGATGGGAGCTCACTCCGCCATGCGGCACACTTGGGTCTCGAACTGCTGAACTACCGACCTTCCACAGCCGGCAGTTCAACGTCTTAACCACTTGAGCCACCGCAGCTCCTTTTACTTCGCCCTTTACTGGGTGGTAAATCGGTTATAAAATCCATAGAAATGACCACCAAGGGTTGCTTCGGGGTTTCCAAGGGCTGTAACAACCCCGGGGCTTTCCCAGCCTGCTGTTTCCCTATCAAGCACACTTGGCAGGAAGCCATGTACTGGGAGATATCCACTCACATACGCGGCCACCAGAACTGCCTTTGGATGAGGTGCAGAGTTTTTAGGTAACCAAAGTGCCCAGCCAGTTTGTTATTGTGACTCATAGACACAACTTCTCCCCAGAGGGAGCGGGGCACAAACAGTTTGCGTTGGTGATACCAGCACCCATTTTCCTCTTGCACCAACATCCCCTCTTTGTCTATTTCCTTCTTGCCTCCCTCAGTGAGAGCGGCTTTTAATTTTTCCACCCACAGGTCAGAGCTTGGTGCATCATCACTGCACCCTCCCCCATTGGGCGGGGGTGAACATGGAGTCCACGACTTCCTCTTGCTGACTGTCATGTTGGGGAAGGCGCGAGAGGGCGTCAGCGAGAAAGTCTGATTGGCCAGGGAGATGCTTGAGGGTGAAGTGAAACTTCAGTGCAGCTGCTTGGCGCTGGGGCATACAGAGCCCTTCCAAGTCCGTATGGTCGGTCCAAATCTCAAATGGCCCCCTTCAACCAATGTCTTCAAGTGGAAAGGGCCAATTTAATCGCAGCAGCCTCTTTGTCCCACACCGCCCAGTTCCTCTCTGTGGCCCAAAAATTTCTTAGACACATAAGCCAGGGGTGCAATTTACCTTCCTCCCCTTCCTGCAGGATCGTCCCCCCCATAGCCACATCCAACACATCCACTTGGATAACAAAGGGTTTATTTTCATCTGGGTGGCATAAGATGGGCTTCCAAGGTTGACAAAGTTTTAAGCCGGTCAAAAGCCTGCTGGCACTCGGGAAGCCATTGCAACCTACTGCCCGGCTTACTACTTGCAGGCCCCTTCCCCTTCGTTTCCAACAAGTCCATGAGGGGCAAGGCGACCTGGGCAAAATTGGGGATGGACTGCAGGTAAAAGTTGGGGAACCCCAGGAATAATTGTGGCTTCCAAGGTTGACAAAGTTTTAAGCCAGTCAAAAGCCTGCTGGCACTCAGGAATCCATTGCAACCTACTGCCCAGCTTACTACTTGCAGGCCCTTTCCCCTTCATTTCCAACAAGTCCATGAGGGGCAAAGCCCACCCCAGCACGTCTTGGACTTTATGGGGATCCATGTGCAGACCCCTACCCGAGATCCGGTAGCCCAGGAAGTCCAGTTCCTCTTTACGGAACTTGCACTTAGACAGCTTGGCAAAGAGGCGGCTCTCATAGAGGGCACTCGGCACGTCTCTGAGCAGCTGCACGCGTGACTCCTTCTCTTTAGAACAGATCAAGATATCATCCAGAAAAACCAGGACCCCCTTGAGCAGGTATTTATGCAGCACCTCGTTAATCAAGTTCATGAGCACCCCCGGGGCCCCAGCCAGTCCAAACGGCATCACCAGGTAGTCAAACGGCCCAAGCGTGGTGTTAAAGGCAGTCCCCCTCTCAGATGTGCACTCGGAAGTAAGCATCTCTCAAGTCCCATTCAGTAAAAATCCGCCCCTGGGCTGCCTCTGCCAGTAAGTCTTTGATCAGCGAGAGGGGGGTAAGCATTTGACATGGACACTGCATTCAAACCCCTATAGTCTGTACATAACCTTAAGTCCCCATCCTTTTTCTTCCTGAAAAGCACCAGGGCAGCAAAGGTCAAAGCCGCCGGCCGGATGAACCCCCTAGCCAAATTCTTGTCAATGAATTTCCATAACTCCTCCTCCTCAGCTGGGCTCATGGAATACAGCTTCCCTTTCCCGGGGCTCTTCTCACGAGGGCAATTCTCTGCAAAGTGGCCAGGAGCTCCACACCTCAGACACAGGCCTCGTCACATTCTTTGCTCCCTCTCGCTTCCTGGCACCTTCAGATCCGGCTTGGGGTGGTACATCTTCAGGCTCTCCGCCTCACAGGCCACCTAGATCCAGCCGTTAAGGGTCAGTGGGTTGTCTTGAGACAGAGCCTTGTCTAGGATAGTGGCATTCAGGCCTGCCCAATAAAACTCCATCAGCACTTCTTCAGGCCACCCTTGGAGTTTAGCCACATAGGTCTTGAACTCATCCGAGAACTCTCTGACGGACCTGACCCCTTGCCTTAAGCCCGAGTCAGGTCCTCGCCCGCTCCAACTCTAAGGGATCCTCGTACTGCCAGCGTAGGGCTTGCATAAAGGCATCCACATCCTGGAGCTCTGGGCCCCCTACACTGTAGAGTCCTACGAACCCTTCTGCTGCCCAATCGCGCAGCCGAGACCCCACGTAATCCACACGATGCTCATCCGATGGGAAGGTGTGGCCCCACTCCCGTAGGAACTCTCTCTCTCTAAGCCTCATCGACCTCACAGGGAAGTTCTGACAATAAAATGAATGAGATTGGGAAAATGTAAAGTGCTTTGGGTCCCACTGGGCAGAAAGATGGGGTATACAGGAAGAAAGGAAATAAAGCTGGGAGGGCAGATAAAAGATAGGTTGGTGAATGGTTGGGTACAAAGGAAGAAAAAAGCAGGGAAAGCCGAGAGAGGAAACAGCATGGGGAGGGGAACACAGAGGGAAATGAGGTACACCCCCAAGTCCTTGCGAGTCCCCTGCTAGTAAAATTACAAGCCGGACACAGGTGACACATGTGGATCACACTGTATCAAAAGGTGGCTACGGTACAGCATAAAGGCGCAAAGCCCGCCCCAAACCTCCACTGTACCTAAGACGAAGTGGGGGAAGATTTGAATCCAGCCTTCAAAAACAATACAGCCAAGCACCCCGATAGTTTGGCCAATCTGTCCACCCTTTTAGCCAGTGTGCAGAGGACACTGTGATGCACGGCCTTACCTGCATGCTGTACGTCTTGAGGTCGAAGTCGTTTTCAATTCTTTGGAGAAGGCACTCGATGTTTTCATCACACCCAGCTAACCTGGTCAAAAACAATCTCCCGGGCTCCAGAATGCTCAGCTCCCTTTCCTGCCATGGAAGAAAGCATGCGGTGGACGAGACCTGCCTGACTTTACGTCCTACGAAACAGCACACCACAGGGGTGAGTGCAGAGGAGGGAGGCTCACCCTCCCAATGCTTGCCAACTCCCGTCTCAGCGTTGCCACCGCATCCTCATGACGGCGTCTCCTGGCCTCCGAGATTCGCTGGATGATGTCGCTGTTTTTCTTCTCCGGAACTGAGAAAGACAAAAATGATTCTGACTGCATGGAGAGCTGAAGAGGTTAGACAGGATGCACATAAAGGAAATGTCTAACGGGTGTGGCAATGTCTTTTGGAAGCAAATATCCTTGCTGTAGAAGCACTTTTCTGCTGCTTGCCATCTGGTCATCCACTTAATGGCTGGATGGCTTGCAGCGACTGGATACTCTCCTTGCCTGAGCGAGGGCTGAAGCAAACAGCTTGGTGGTTTCTGAATGCAGTCGGTGGAGGAGATTAAGGGGTACACCATTTATACCCGAAAGGAAGACTAGGTTTTTTCAACCATGCAACATCAAGAAACATTCACATACAAGTTACAGTTATGTACACTAATAAAACACCTTTTGTATACAGCCCTTTTTAGACTGATTCAGGCGGGCGGCCGTGTTGGTCTGAAGCAACAGGATAAAGTGTGAGTCCAGACTGGGCACCTTTAAGACCAACAAAGTTTAATTCTGGGCATTGTTGTTGTTCAGTCGCACAGTTGAGTCCGACTCTTTGCGACCCCATGGACCAGATCCTGCCAGGCCCTCCTGTCTTCCACCGTCCTCTGAAGTTTGCCCACCGTGCCTCGCATTCGCATAGAAAATGCTTCTGAGGGATGCCAGACTGGAAACCAGTTCAAGGCTTCCAGTTCTCCAGCGGGAGCAGTTAGCAATTTGAGGCTTCTACTTTCAAAGACCTAATCTTACGTATCCTTCATCTAATTGAGACTGTACAGATATCACGAATATATTAAGAATACAGTTCACAATTAAATGTATAGCATTTACTAATGACTTCCGCAAGGTTTCGGACTTCTCGGGCAGCAGCCATGTCCTCATTTTCGTGCGTCTTTTGAAACGTCAGCGTCATGGCCTCTCTGAAACAGAAGGGGAAGCATTAAAATGTAGCACAGGGCTCCCAGCGAAAACATGAGAATGGCTTTGCTGGATCAGACCAAATGTTCATCAATATCTGTTTCCGACAGAAATAGATGTCTTGGGGAAAGCCACAAATAAGGACTGCGCATGCCGTGCAGCTTCAGATTTAATGAGCCATTTGATGGCCAGGAAGCCCCTCTTTCTTTGGATCCTGGTTTCCTCAGCGTTCCTTGAACTTTCCTCGACCTGTCCCCCCCTGTAATGCAAAATAGCCTCCATTTCTTTTGTCTGCTTGCAGTTCACTTGACCAAACTTTGTCAAAGAGGATTCTGGGTCTGTGAAGGCCTGGAATGTGCTATCAAAGATATGCTGGTGTAAATCTTAAGAGTCTCAGAGGCGCCTGCTAGTCTCTTGGTGCCTCTTAGTTCCCTTTAAGACCTGTATGACCCTGATAACGGGAGAATTATGACTTTCACTCCCATGGCAGTACCAGCTGCAAACCCTTAGCAGTGTGGCCTTGGTGGTCATTAATACATTAGCAACATTCCAACTGTTTGCACCTGTGATGGGAGGAGGGAGTCGGGTTATCTTCTAGAAATAACTTTCGATTCCCCAGAACTGAACAACAAGTATTATGGGATATCCTTTGTTACCCTGGTTACCAGTAGCTATGACATCACTTTGATGGGTTTGTGAGTGGCTACCCGGCCGGAGCCCCTCGTGACCCCCCTTTTCTATAAGAACCTGCGTTCTCAGTAACCTGTGTGGATTCTTGGGGTATTTTGGCTAAGTCTGGTCAATACTCCAAGCAACCCTCCATAATGCCTTGAATACTTGGACTCACCATCT